ACTCATCCTAATGACGCTCAATCGGATTGATATTTGGTAATTTTAATAACAAACTGCATATATGAAATGATTGTCATGGTTTTACAACCAATTTTGAACAAATAGGATGCGGTCTGTTGTTAGATTATTATATTGGAAAAGCCCTTGTCTAACAGGATGGGTCCCCCAGTGAGACAGCGGTAATTTTTGGATTTACAACACTCAAACCAGGGGTTCGATTCCCCTCGGAGGACACAGCAGATAGCCCAATGTGGCTTTGCTATAAGAAAACACACACACACACACACCAACAGGATGGTTATTTAGTGTGCGGAGTGGATATGATTGGCAGCAACTTTCAGGTATGCCCCGTACGATGCGACCTTCAAAAGGAATCATGAATATTCCCCCATACTATTACACTATCTCTAGCAATTTGTACTTTCTGAATTACACAAGTTGAATGAAGTATCTCAGTTGGGTTTTTTTGTCATATGCTCTATCCTCAGCACAGAAAAGTCTTAGACTGTATTACACATTTATAATGATTTATTGTCCACAGTTTAAACTCTAAGTGCTAATGAAGCCGAGCTGTCCTATTTGGATCTGAAATGTACAATTTTCTGACTACAGTTTCATAATATCCTTTGTTTATAATTGAGTAGTTAGTTGAATCCTAACAATTGTAAACAGAATTAGTAGATCGGGCACATTATGAAGTCCCTTGTACTTAATAAGACTGTCCAGATATTTTTATCTCAGTCTATCACCAATGGCTGGTGAATGTTATTATCTTTCTTTAATAGTTCATTGACTCTGAGAATAATTTTCTGCAAGATTCACAACCACTATCATACACCTTTGAAAATCAAAGAGATCTTTGCTCTTTCCCATATTTTTTCTAGGCTAACCATAATACGACTACTGAATATTTATAAGGCCAAAGTAATCGACTGACACATCATATTTTGCATATACAAATAGCTTGGGTTCTCTACAGATGTTTGAATGGAAGCCCCCTAGTCATAGGGAATAAAAAAGAAATATCTTTTTCATCCATCAAAATTGTTCTTAGTTTCTGTCAGTACTTAGTTGTTACAGAAAGTTTAGACTGGAATCATCTTCCTGAAATCTATTGAATAACTTAGCTTCATTTAGCTACATTACTTATATTGTTATTATAGAAACTAGACAGAAATGTATGCTCTCAACCAATTCTTCAGCAACTAACTGTATTTGTTCTATTAGTATGAAAACTTAACGTTAATATATTTTTGTTAAGTTGATATCTTTTGAATAATTTTATTAAGCTGTTTTAGGTGCTTTGCCTAGCAGTTGTGCTTACCGATTGGTCAGCCAATCCTATAAGATATTTCCTTAGTTAATGCAAGAGTATGGTTGTTATTGGAATCATGCAGTAACGTCTAAGAGTGTAAATATAATTTATAAAACTTTTGCCTTAGTTACTGTTGCCATAGAAGCCAGAAATTTGAGTTCGTAAATAAATTTCTAATTATACAGTACTGCATTTTAGCAGCTGTATGTGTTCTTCATAATATATATGTCTTTGAGTAGGATGGTCTCTGTCGACAAAATGTTAGAGACAAGGTATACATATTGTTGACATAACGAATATGCCTTCGTGTTGATATTACTGACGAAGGTGAATTCTAGCAAACTACGTGTTTGCTTAACAATAGACGGAGACACTTAACAATGATCGTAAGGGAAAAGTTTTACGATATTAACGAGAATGGAGATTTTGTGAAGACAACTCCAGCACACACACATATATATATATATATATATATATCCATTCCTCTCAGTGGAAAATGTAATTTTGTTTTATCTCAAGAACTTACCGTAAAGATAAAATTCTGTAAACAAGAGAAGCATAAATGCAGTGTTAAGTAACAATTTTTGACAGATCGCCAGACACTCCACTTCCGTCCACAATCAGTCTGTAATGACCATCCTGATCCACAGAGTTTAGACTTTGTCTTCTAAAGTTAGAGTTAAAAAAAGAAGTTTGATAATCCGTATATAAGCTACATTTATACACAACCAGTCTGTAATAACCACATTGATTCGTAAAGTAAAAACGGTCTTGTGAAAGTAAAATTAAATTAGATGTTTAACAGATGATAATTCACTCCACAATCAGACTTTAGTAAACCCACTGATCCGCGAAGTAGAAACTGGTCTTCTGAAGGTAGAGTCAAGTGAGACGTTTCACAGATTCCTACTTACTCCACAATCAGACTATATTAACCACACTGATTCGTAAAGTTCAAACTGTCCTCTGAAGGTAGAGTCAAGTGAGACGTTTCACAGATTCCTACTTACTCCACAATCAGACTATATTAACCACACTGATTCGTAAAGTTCAAACTGTCCTTTGAAGGTAGAGTCAAGTGAGACGTTTCACAGATTCCTACTTACTCTACAATCAGACTATATTAACCACACTGATTCGTAAAGTTCAAACTGTCCTCTGAAGGTAGAGTCAAGTGAGACGTTTCACAGATTCCTACTTACTCCACAAACAGACTATATTAACCACACTGATTCGTAAAGTTCAAACTGTCCTCTGAAGGTGGAGTCAAGTGAGACGTTTAACAGATTCCTACTTACTCCACAATCAGACTATATTAACCACACTGATTCGTAAAATTCAAACTGTCCTCTGAAGGTATAGCGTAAAGAAGTTTAAAAAAAAACACTACTTACTTTGCAGTCAGACAGTAATGTTGAAACTGTTATATCTGTTGGTACTGATACATATCTGTACAAACATATACAAGGGTAAAAAAATAAGTAATAAGTAAGATTTTATAACTTACAATGATTGTTTATTTGGATTGTTTTGAATTTCGTGCAAAACTACTCGAGGGTTATCTGCGCTAGCCGTCTCTAGTTTTGAAGAAATGAACTAGACTCTAGAGGGAAGGCAGCTAGTCAACACAATCCATCGCCAAATCATGAGCTACTCCTTTACCAATCAATAATGGGATTGACTGTACATTATATCATCCCCACGGCTGAAAGGGTGAGCATGTTTAGTAAAGAAGATTCGAACCCGCAGATTGCGAGTCGATCGCCCTGACCACCAGGTTATTCCATAACTTATAATGAAGGACTTTATTTTTTGGTTCTGACGTTTCCTTAGACGAAGGAATATAAACACACCTCATGTTATGATATAGTAGAAGTAGATAAGCTTAAAAGTAAAAACTTTTTTTTCCGTATTTAATGTTAACACTTTTTTTTTTACATGGTTATCTGTTTTTGTATGAAATTTATTACTTTCTCTTCGAACAAAATTAACAATTTCTTTTTTCCCTCGTGGGTACTATTTCTCCAGTGTTAACACTTTTTTCTTCTCTAGTTTACAGCAAGAACCCATAACATCCTTTGATAATTCCGCCGGGAGCACTTTCTTCTGTAGCCAGCACAAAGTAACAACGCACTCGAGGATATTGAGGATCAACACTTATTTCCTAATCTGGGTTGTCGCGTCCTAAGACTTACACCAAGAAAACTTATAAACACGTGGTCTTGCTCTGATAAGGTACGTGTAAAGAGAACATCTCCAACTATCGGAAGCTACTATATTCATCAAGTGACTGAAATTTCTCTATATTTGAGTATAGTGAACTTGGTACAGTTGATAGTTATAAGTCTATAGTGAACTTGTACAGTTGATAGTTATAAGTCTATAGTGAACTTGTATCGTTGATAGTTATAAGTCTATAGTGAACTTGTACAGTTGATAGTTATAGGTCTATAGTGAACTTGTACAGTTGATAGTTATAAGTCTATAGTGAACTTGTACAGTTGATAGTTATAGGTCTATAGTGAACTTGTACAGTTGATAGTTATAAGTCTATAGTGAACTTGTACAGTTGATAGTTATGTCTATAGTGAACTTGTACAGTTGATAGTTATGTCTATAGTGAACTTGTACAGTTGATAGTTATAGGTCTATAGTGAACTTGTACAGTTGATAGTTATAAGTCTATAGTGAACTTGTACAGTTGATAGTTATAAGTGAAAATGAGTAATACAAACCTCTGGCTTTGATCCTCACTTGGTATCCTCTCATGGTTTCTTTCAGTTCTTTCTATTCTAGCCTACACTAAACACTCCTTGAATGAGCGAAACTAAATGTGCCTTAGATAACTATCCTAAGGATTATAAAATAACCAAACAATACCAAAGTTTCTATAAACAAGTTGCTGACATGACTATATTAAGGACTGCAAAACAACCAAACAATACCAAAGTTTCTATAAACAAGTTGCTGGCATGACTATATTAAGGACTACAAAATAGCCAAACAATACCAAAGTTTCTATAAACAAGTTGCTGACATGACTATATTAAGGACTACAAAATAACCAAACAATACCAAAGTTTCTATAAACAAGTTACTGACATGACTATATTAAGAACTACAAAATAACCAAACAATACCAAAGTTTCTATAAACAAAGTTGCTGACATGACTATAATAAGGACTATGAAACAACCAAATAATACCAAAGTTTCTATAAACAAGATGCTGACATGACTATATTAAGGATTATAAAATAACACATTGAAATATGAACACATTACGGGGTTCAACTTAAATGTTGTGCTTTGCGAGCTCGCTAGAGGGCGCTAAGTTTTCTTATCGTGTAGAAGGGGACAGAGAAGTTTCCAGCTAAGCACGAGCATTGTGTGGCAGTTCTTGATGCGGGTGCACGAGATGCAAGCAAGTACTTTGGTAGTGGAAGTTTTGACAGCATTATTAAATTATCGACTTATTTCCTCGAGCTTTATTCACGTCGTAAATATTGTGTAGCATTTTTAATATCTTTTGGAATATTTAAATTGAACTCTTTTTGCACGAATATGTTGAAAACTTTGTTTTGCGAACAATTTAAAGTACTATGAAGAGATAGAATTAACAGCTGGAAATGTGCTGACTATTGTAACGTTGTCCCAGAACAAAACTTTCAACTAGACAACTAGAACAAATTTATTATTGAAAAAACAAAGACCTATAAGATTTGGTACCGTGTCGTCAAGACTTTGTTGTTTCTCTTCTCTTTAGGTCAACAGATAAGCGTATTTAACTTAAATTCAAGCATAGATCTGTAAGTTGTAGAATTTGAAAAAATCAACACCACATACCTATACCTAAGCAAAGCCTTATATACGTTAATTCATTCTTTTCGGAGAACGAGCGGTCTTTTTGCTTGTAACGATGTTTATCCTGAAGCTGCTGGAGAGACGACTCGTTTCTAAGAACAGAATTAGTCTATTCTCTGAGAAAACTAGCATTATTCTCCTAATATCGACTATCACTGGTAAGTGGGAACACGAGTATTATTTTTTCATTTTGAATAGTTTTATAAGTTATTTCTAAAGACCATTACTTAAAGACTGAGAGCGATCAAAAGACAATGGTACAGTTTTTGAAACTGCATTTTAATGCCATTACAATAGATATACTAGAATTAGAGTTTCTTTTTCCCCCGAATGACTGCTCATTCTAAGTGATACAAGCCACCACCAAAAAGAAGTTTCATAGGGGCTTGTGACTATAAGAAATACCCATAAATATTCTCAAAACAAAATAACTATATCCATTATATTCAAATATTAATATATTAAACTATATGTGCGGTTCTTCTGTAAGGTCCCCGAAAGTGTTCTGGTTCAAAAGTAAATAAAACTAAAATTAAGAGTAACAAATATTTTTATTTCTTGCTTTTGAAGTTTATATCTCATGTTGTGTTGTAGCCTACAGAGTGTATAATTATTCTCGTGATTCATGGCATTCGCACGTTTTACTCGCGTCACGACAGTACAAATTGCAACGCTAAGCGTCCCTTATATGAAGTCATTTTAGTGTCTACTAACTGATTGACAGACAACACACTACTGTATAGTGGTGCGAATGGTTAAAACAGATGACCCCAGGCCATTTCGGGGAAATAAAATTTGGCTTTAAGAAGCGATGTAAAAATTCAACGAAACCGTTTGAGGAGAAATAACTTATTAGGTAAGTCCTTACACGATAAAACGTCATTTTTTAACCTGAAAGATTGGCAAGCAACAACTAACTACACTTACTCTAGTAAGCATTTTTCTAACTAAGCTTACTAAAACTAGAACTATGTACTGTTGTCTTATTTTTAGGAATCTTTCTTTATAAATAGGATTACAAGGTTGATTTTATATCTTTTTACACATTGTTGCACATCGAATCCCAAATATACTTTGAGTTAAACACCAACAAACGATTTGATACATTATCTATACTATTATTCTGCTTGTTTGTATGTACGACCGTTACGCTT